AACATTATATTCAGATCCAAAAAGATTGTATAGCTCAAACCTCCTACCTCTCTACTCTCATATTGCACTAGAACATCATACGCCCTTTGGGCGCCCTACCATGATTTGAAGAACAAAAGCAAGTCTATGCTCGATAGACAGGGCTCCATAATTAGATATGGTAAAGCTAAGATGTCAGGACCCAAGATCAAGCATATATCATATCATATACCATTAGAAACATGGCAAATTATGAAGCAATGATATGGTTTGTATGTCACTGTAGCTCTCATGGTTCTGTTCACACCCTTCATTACATTAACGGTGATGTTGAACCATACATTACACAACTATTAGGTACAATTTACGATCAGGAATTCACAACAATCGAACACTCAAGCTGGTAGCTTAGAACGACAAACTACACAGTTCGCAGCCATGAGATTTGCAAAAGACACAGAGTCGATCATCATAGTGGCAAGTTCCGTTGATGCTGAACATCAGACGTCGATCAGCAGTTGAGCAAATACACATAGAAAAGCTGGTGCAACCAATAGAGGCAAAAGAGATGTGTCCTTCCTCTTTATGTGATTAGGTATCATGGACAGGTCTGTAAATGGAAAAATATGGCATAAGGTATGATGTGCATAGATTATGACAGGGCAATAAAGTTATGGGCTATTGGAACATCTGGATCATAACTCACTACCGAAGACGGCTTCTTTGTCGAGTGTCCCAGACTTTGCCGAGTGCTTCTTATCGGGCGCTCGGCAAAGAGGCTATTTGCCGAGTGCCAGAGAGAAAGCACTCGGCAAACAACTGGCACTCGGCAAAGAGGTGGTTTGCCGAGTGCCGAGCACTCGGCAAACAATAACACTCGGCAAAGACCAGGTTTGTCGAGTGTCGGGCACTCGGCAAACCAGAACACTCGGCAAAGGGCCGCCGCCGTTAACCCTTTGCCGAGTGTCTTCTCCTGACACTCGGCAAAGCGGTGATTTGCCGAGTGTCATTTTTGACACTCGGCAAACCATATTTTTTTTTACTTTTGACCTCCAAACTTTTTCTGCAGTCCTCATATAATACCTGGTACTCCATGTTCCAATGTGGCACATTTCTCGGACTTTTTCTATATTTCTTTAATTTATTTCATTTAATTGAATTTTCTTGGATAATTCAAATTATAACTGCTAGTCATTCGAATAATGAAAAAAATGAATGGAAAAATGATATTCATGTTATTTAGTATAATGTGAGGTCGTATCCAGGAACACTTCCCTAGCCTGGTTGAGTACGTCGGAGTGACGGGGCCGGCCTACTCGTTTGACCACTATGCAGCCGCCCCCGATGCCGCAGATCGGGCCCGCAGGGTATTCAACAACAAGGCGGAGCGGGTGAAGCAAGAGTTGTGGGTAAGTCTTCCTCGCACTACATTGCTCAATACATCGCATTCATTGGACATTCTTGAAATAATAAATGGATACATCGTGTTTGTATGCAGGATTTCTTTAGATGCCAGGACGGACATGAGGCTAGGGCGGATGCGGTGGCTACCAAATGTTGCAAAAAACTCGTCGTGGACATGCATTACGAGGTGCGCATCCAGGCCGTCGTAACTTACCACGGGACCGTCCTTGGAACGAAGGTCACCAAAAGGGACGCAAGAACCATGACGCTGACCCGGGACCGGTACCTGTAGGCAAATACAAAACATTAATACTGATTCCTTTTGAGATTAAGTAGGCTTAATCTCATCTTCTGATATGTCATGTACTTGATGGCCTGTAGATGATTCCTTATTGGTGCGCCCAGATGGTGGACAAGTGGCGCTCACGCGAGTGGGAGGAGACGCACAACTTGTGCCGAGAGCGGCGTTTGATGATGCCAAGTGTAGCACACCATCAAGGCAGCTGCAGCCTCAGCGGATACATAGAAACATGGGTACACGAATTCATTTATTTATTCTAACACTCAATTCTGCATGATTTCTAATCATCTTGCTGTTTTTTCGCAGTCGGCGTCACATGGTGGCCAGCCTTGCTCCATCTTCAAGGCATTTGCTATGGCCCACAAGGGCAAGGCGACGTCTGACGTTGACTACAACCCGGGGGATGGGCCCGAGGCGTACAACAATTCGACCGTCCACAACCGCCTCAGTGAGTACACATCGATGGCAAGGGAGGTCCATGGGCCAGAGTACGATCCGAGCACCGAGGGCCTTGATGGAGAAGTCATCATGAGGGTGGGAGGAGGTAAGAAGCATGGGCGGTACTAGATTGGCGACGGCGCAATCGACTCGGCCGCTACTCCCAGTCTCTCCCAGATTCGAGCAAGCAGCACGAGCATGAGCCCGGCCATACGACCTCGGTAGGACACTTCACACCACTGGGTGGAGGCACTCGAGGTTATTCCTGGTTTATTCGTCGTTCTTTGGTTTTTTCGTACCTTTCCTTTGCATTATTGTAACATTGGGGTGAATATATTGTAGGCCCAGCTGGAACAAGAGAGGAGGATACGGGAGCAGATGCAGGCGAAAATGGAGAGGGTGGAGGCCGAGCGGGAGGCCGAGCAGCGGAGGATGGCGGAGATTCTTCAGTACATGCAAAGTCTTGGCGCCGCTACGGGTGTAGTTCCGCCACCTTCGCTATTCGCTCCACCTCCACCTCCTCACTATTCTACTCCTGTGAGTATAAATGTTTTAGTTTATATGTTCATGCTTACGGTCAAACCTAGTGGAGTATGAAAGTTTTATTCATGTATGGTATATATTTATCTTGTCTCACACATGCAATCTCTTCTTCTTTGTGCAGAATCAATCAGCGTCATCGAACGATCCTCATGCTTCAGCGAATCCTTCACCAAATCAGTCTCATTTGTCATGTTCGTGATGATACTTGTGGTTGTTAATGGTACTTCTATATGCAATTGTGGTTGTAGACGATGGAGCACTTGGATTACTTGTGAACTTATTTGTGATATATTATGATACATGTGACGTTTGTGATATATATGTGACGTTTGTGATATATATGTGGTGTTGGTGATATATATGTGTTGTTGATGATATATATGTGATGTTGGTTATGTTTGTTATATATATCTTCTGTTTGTTTGGATGGGATGTAAAAAACAAATAAAAAAGGTTGTTTTCAGTCACTTTGCCGAGTGCAATGGCCATGACACTCGGCAAAGTGACTACCTGGTAACATGTTTTGCCGAGTGTCTTGACAGGACACTCGGCAAATAGGCTACCTTTGCCGAGTGTCTTTCCGGTGGCACTCGGCACAGTGACCACCTTTGCCAAGTGTCTGAGTCAATGGCGCTCGGCAAAGCGGCGACCTTTGCCGAGTGCTTGACCTTGACACTCGGCAAAACTGCCATCATGGTGGTGCTCGCCGTCACGACGACTTTTCTTTGCCGAGTGTCGGATTAGCACTTGGCAAAGGCTTTACCGAGTGTCCGATAAAGTGCACTCGGCAAAGAGATCTTTGCTGATGAACTGTTTACCGAGCGCCCTTTGCCGAGTGTAACACACGGCAAAGGCTTTGCCGAGTGTATATCGGCCTTTGCCGAGTGCCTGAGGCACTCGGCAAAGAAGCTGAATCCGGTAGTGACTCTAAGCAATTAATATGTCATGTGATTGCTCTCCCCTCTTTTGGAGTTTTGGTGATTAAGTATTTTCTCAAAATCATTACTTACTAAGTAAATAAATATTCATGATCCTGCACCTACATGATCTACTTACATGTCCTGGTAGCAAATGAAAATAAGTAAATATTTCAATGTGCAGTGAACAGCACAACTAAAGAAGAAAAAAATTAAAATCAGAAAATGATTAATATACTAAGCTTTGCCTTGCAGATTTGAATTATATCTTAGCATTAGCACACCGGTAAATAGTCATACTGCAATCCGCAGATATAGTGTTATAGGTGCCATAGAAACACAAACTACATCTGACTACTTATTAGGGGATCAGAACTACAGATTAAATTGTTCTTTTTTCAACATAATCCGAACAAAAAACATCTGTAGTCATGTTATTTTAACTTATTATTGAAGTAAACATGCCTCTGAGAAGTATCTGTGTAGTTATGAAACCTATGCATATGAGAAGTAGTTGTGTAGTTATGAAATCTTGACAACTTTTGCACCAGCATTGCGAGCAGATAAAACCTATGAATGCCGGAAAGCAAATATGCCAAAGAACAAAAGTATGGTCGCATAACTCAGAAGTGCTTTACCTGAATTTGATCAAAGTTCACACATCAAGTGATACATACTTAAACTGGTGTCGGCACTCTTGGAATATACAGAACAATTACTTTCTTTAAGAAATGAAGTATATCCTGAAAGAAACATCCCTTCCTGGTGTGCTGCTGAAGCACAATGCACCACAATGCAAAACCAACCATTTCACAATTCATGGGCGGAACCAGCAAAGGACTTGATAAATTTTTAAACAAAAATCCAAGTTGGTTGCATACACTTGTTTGCAAGTAAATTAGATCTAAATACAAATCCTCAAGGACCAAGCGTATCATTAGTGTCAGACAGAGCACAACAAAACAACGGGTATAAGATACATGATAAGTGATTGCAGAATTGCATAGCTGAATTAGTGTCATAACTAAACATGGGTAAAGCTGTTAATACGACAAACAAGAGAGCAATGCTATATGGCATCATTGTGGATTCCACTCTCAACGAGTAACATTTCAACATTGTAGCACTCTTCATCTGCTAATTTTAATTTTAATTTAGAAATTATCATGAAATTTCCCACTTCTCTAAACCCCTAAGAAACAGATAAGAAATCAGGGACTCTGTTTGTGAATTGACGAATCCCAAAACCAAACCAATTCACAGTACCTGATGAGTGGGATGAACCCGCTACAACTCACTGTTGACTACAGAGTCCACCACTCCAGTGTGCGTCAGAGTGCTCAAGGTAGCTGCTAGATGGCTGAGATCCGCGAGCCACCCTAGCTCAACATCGCCTCCTCTCGGATCTCTGCTCCCACATGATGAGGAACTCGCAGATCCGATGGAAGCAGGAACGCTCCAACATGATGGCCGGGGAGCTAGCAGAACCGGTGGGAGCGACGAAGCTATTGGTCTTCATGTGCTTGGACTGTCCTAGCCCATGGGGCGAGATGGAGATGTCGAGGGCTCGGGTTCCACTGCACCACACTCCTCCCTTCACAGATCGGGGCGTGAATCGAGGCCACTACACCAGATTTGGAGGCGGAGGAGCTCACCTCGTCTTGATAAAGCGACATTCTGCTCGTGCCGGCATGGAGGCGACGCGAGGAGGAGAAGGCGAGGTGGAGAGAGGCATGGAGGAGGCACGCCGTGGAGAGGGCATGGAGGCACCGGCGGCGGCGGTAAAGAGGGAGAGAGTAAAGGGAGACCGAGAAACAGACGGGAGAGATGCCACCTACCCATAGATCTGTGCCATCACCATGAGCAGAGGGGAGAGGAGGTCCATGCAAATCCGTGTTGTTACCACGAGCGGAGGGGAGGGGAGGTCCCCGCAGATCCATGAGTTCCTCCGTCACCGCGAGTGGAGGCGAGAAGAGGGAAGAGATGAGGGAAGCTAGGGTTTCGGGCGCCACCCAGCCTGTGCGGGAGTGAGACCGATGAACATCGGGAGATCTGGACTGCGGATTGGTTTCCAAAAAGCTAGAGGGCTTTTTTGCAGAAGAAGTAGCGCGAGGTGTTGGCACGTGGATGAGCCTCCAATGCCCCAAATTCTGTGGTGCTCGTAGAACTCAGTCGGTTTTAACATCTTCCGATAAAGAAACCTTTGTAGCCAGGATTCAGAAACTTCCATAACTCCATAACTTTCAAATAGAATAACACAAACTTCAAACTTGAATCATATAAACTTTCAGGTCCATTTACAAAAAAATTATAACCCATTTCAGAAAAAAAACAAATTCTAGAGCTTTTAGGTCGATCTACATGAACTTTAAAATTGTTTCATTAAAAACTTTGAAATATGATAACAAAAAACTTTAAACTTGATTTGTTCAAAATTTTCAAGCCAATCCCGCAAAACTTTATAATCTATTTCAAAAAAAAAAAAAATCTGGAGCCTCCAAGTTGATCTATGTGAACTGTCAAGTTGGTTCATTAAGAATTTGGACTCCATAAATTTCTAATGGAATAACGCAAAAACTTTTATATTGGTCTCCAAAAATATTTTTCCAGTGAATCTTTTGAGCGGTAGGCGCAGGCGATCCACCTGCTTCTTGTGGGAACGAACGTCCTTGTCTGCTCGGGCGTAGGCGCAGGGAGCAGCGGCGCTTCCGCAGTATTTTTTGAGTGAATCTTTTGAGCCGTAGTGCTGCCGAGCTACCGTTGCCGGTGCGCGGTGAACGTTCTTGCGACGGCACCTGTGCAGGGTTCCCTTGTGGCTGTGGGGAATCGCCCTCTTCCTCCGCCGAGGCTTGGTGATGTGGGTTTTCAGTTGACACATCTATGGGCGCCGCAAACGCCGGCGGAGGCGTGGCCTGTGGGGGTGTGGCCATGGCGCAGGGGTCTGGCGGGCTCGATCTCCGTGTCATAGCTTCATCGCGTTGTTGGGCCGCTTCATCACAACGTTGGAAGGAGGGCACGAGAAGGACTTTCGTCCCATATGAGCCCCATCGACTCGTGTGACAAATAGATCCTACGACGACACCTCCAAGAAGGTAGATGGTACAAGCTGCACCACCGCCGCCGGCCCGAAGCAAGATGACGGGCAGAGGGGGGGGGGCATCCCACGCTCAGGCATCGGGCTGCAAAGGTGTCGACGATGTTGCAGCACCGGCGAGCAGGGAGGACTGGCCCACGGCAGGCGCGGGCGGTCGGACCGGCCAACACGGACACGGCCAGCCGCAGCGCGACCCGACTAGCCGCCCGCCAGCCCTAGCATGCGTGCCCTAGCGCCCGGCCCCAGCAGGCGGCTGCACACCGTGCGCAACCTCCCGGCCAGGCGCTGGCACCGTAGCGCGCAGATCAGCTACTGAGCGTCCCTTCCCGGACCGGTCGCGGCCAGCCACTGCGCGTCCTAGAGCCAGCCGCCGTGGGCAGAACGGCCTCCCGAGCAGCCGCTGCCCCTGGAGCGAGCAGATCCAGCGCGGGGAGACCTCAAGCAGGCCGTGCCCCGGCCAGATCCGGCCCCGGCCACTCGGGCCCTGGCTGCCGCCGATCGCCGCGGTGGAGCTCGCGACGCGAGGCGGCGTCGAGAGCGGACACCAGATCTGGCCCCAGGAGGCCCAAGTCCGCCTCCATCGTCTGGCCAAAACGCCGGAGCCGAAGGTGCAGGGGAGGGGTGGTGAGGAGGGGAAGGGAAGGGAGGAGGAGCTGCGACGGGTACCCTTTTTGGGGGCCGCCGCCACCGCACGCCGGTGGGCGGCGCCGGCGGCCGGTGGGGAGGCTGAGAGGGGGAGGCCTAGTGGCGCCGGCGGATCGCCCCCTGAGTCGCCCGTTGGGGAGCTCCGGAGGAGAACAAACTGGAAGTAGGTTTCCTGCAACACAGTAGATGAGTAGAGGAGTCGATCACGCTATTTTGAGTTCACAGGACCCAACACTCTCTAACACAGTAACACTGAGCTGACTGACCCAAAAGCTGCACAAATACATCCCCAACCACACCAAAGCAATCAGAGAATGAGTGAAAGACTAGCTGACACTATGAAAAATTCAATTTCGTGAGACAGGGCAAATAAATTAAAGTGGCCATTGTGCTTGGGCTCTGTCTGTGCAAATCGCCAGCCGGAATAACAAAATTGTGAGACCGGCCATATAAATTATACAAAGTCACTTGAGATGTTGCGGCCTCCTCTGCAAATGGCCTCTTAGAACATTAGCAGAGACCATTTGACATAGGTGGTGGCCCATGCCACTTCTACAAAACAGAAATATGTGAGGTAAAAATACAATCTAATTAGAGCGAGAGGTGTTGACCAATAATATAGGAGACCTATCATCCTCCACGACTGTTTCAAACATTGATCTTTTCAAAAAAGATTCACGTCATTATTGATCAAATTATGTCCACAGGAAATGGATGCCATCATGGTGTTGGTGGAACACAGATGAGCAGAACAGAATGGGATCCTCCAAGATGGAGCCAGCAGGAGAACACTGGACGCCAGTGGTCTGAGGTTTTCTCCTCGGTTGTATGTTGACTGGGAATAACCCAAACTGCATGTAGTTCCGATCCGCTTTGTATGAGCCCTGAGTGCCTAGCCATGGAGTTTTGGCCCATTCGTCGCAGGAGCTGCAAAATTTGTCTGTACGTCACATTTATCAACCTAATAATTGACTCAATTCTAGTTGATGTTAAGAGACATTATTGCTTTGTGTTGGAATGTAGTAGGCCTAGTAGTAGTGCAGCCATTTGACGGACGCTGGTATTAAGATGGAGGCGCTTGCGCGTGCTCCCTATTTGAGCGTGGTTGTAACCGAGAAAGAGAATGAATGAATTGCGATTGTTGACTTACATGAATCGTCCGAGTACCAGCATTGGGATCAGTAGCTTTTACTTCTGGTAACTTAGGGCATGTTCAACCCACAGACACGGGTCGTCTCCATGGACCTCGAATCAAACATAAAGACAGCTAAAAAGACAGGTCGTACTATGAGCTGTCTGTTTTACTACACACTATTTAATGCTACGCATGTGGCCTAGATGAATTGTGAACACTATTTTGTACACCATTGTGTTGCTAATCGATAAAAAATGGATTAAGCTTAAATAAGATGAACATGATTATAATTTTTTTAAACCATCAATATATCATATTATATATAATTGAAACATCTTTGTCTAATTTTTTTCTTTCCATAGCGCAGGCAACTGCTACAGATTTGACTTCAATAAAAATTTCACTAGAAATATCTACACAGCATCCTCATAGCCCCGGGTCAGCCAAAAACAGCTAGCATTTCACATTATGAAAACAGCATGGTGACAATGTTTTCCATGTATTAGCCAAAAACAGCTATCATTAGCCCCAAAGACTGCTGAAGCTTCATACAAATGCCATGAATTAAGAACGTATTCTTGCCGTAGAGGTCCTAGTGCTCGGGCCAGAGGCCGAGCTCGCCGTGATGTCAGTGTCCACCGGCACTGGCGAGGTTGCGTCTAGCCTCGGGATCGTCGGGCTTCGCATCTCCGGCAGCGGCGGCGGCGGCGGCAGCGGCACGATGACGGCGCTGTGGATCTCGCGATGAAGGCTCGGGCACCGTCGGTGGCGCTCAGGATCGTCGGGCTTGGCATCTCCGGCAGCGGGCGGCGGCGGCGGCGGCAGCAGCGCAAGGAAGGTGCTGGATCTCGCGAGCACCAAAACTAGAGCACAGTCACCGTCTACCAAAGAAATCCCGCAAGCACCAAAACTAGAGCACGCGAGTGCCTGCACGGTATCCGAGCGCAGGGTCGACTCGTGGAAACGAAGCCGTACAACGCTGCTGCCCTCGTCGATTCCACCTAGGAGCAGGAGCCCTTGCCGTCGTCTCGCGAGGCGACGGGGCGAGCGTCTCTGAGCGAAGCTGAGGACTGTTTTGCATAATTCGCGTCTTGGAGACGGGCGTTGTACATGCCCTTAGTACAAATTCAATTTTAAGTCAACTACCTGAACTATGATCATTTAACTGAATGGTACTAGTAATCTCTGGACTATATTTAGTACTACTCCCTCCGTCCCAGGATATAAGGCGTAACTGTTTTTTTCTTAGTCCCATGATACAAGGCGCCTACACTTTAGCTCCCGCATGCAACAACTAATGCAGGACCAAATCTAACTCCTGGGCTCCCTCTGAATGCATTTGTGCAACATGCATGCATGAATGCTGGAAGCTAATTGGCTAGACCATTTCTGCATGCACGCATGCGGCATCACAGTAAATTGGATGGAGAACCAAAATGCATTTAATGTGTAGGAGTTAATTTACTTATTGGTCTTGGTGCTCAAGGGAGTTGCGCCTTCTATCCTGAGACGGAGGGAGTAATTAACTTAATTCTGGGAAACAGTTCGTATAAAGTCATGCAAGTTAGTTTTTTAGAATCAGTGCTTACCCCATTAACACTGTTGTAATGTATCCTTGCCAAATTTCATAGCTCAGTCGTTCAAAGTTAATCTGAAGTCTCTTGGCTACACTTTTGGCTTAAGTTTTTTTTTTCTAGTTGAGCCGTCAATTCTAGTTTTTTCCAGCGGCATTATTGATACACTTGTCACACAGGTTCCTAACCACCATAATCTCACAGCCAGCCCCAACCAACGTATTATAAAGGTAAGTTCTACTAATTGAGATATGTAAGATGGAGGTCCTTATTATAGAGGATGGCCTCTCCACAATACTAATATAAACATAAACAAAGATGGAGGTCCATATGAAGATCAACTTTATTGGTTCGATTTTCTAGCAAGGTGGCGGGCTTTGTGGCACAGCCTCCCAA